ATCTTTACACATAATAGCCAAAAACCTGGAAGCAATCCAAATTGTTTAATAACTGAACTGATTGTAGTATTTGTACCAAATAAGCCAGACATAAAGGCAACACACATTACTGTATGAGTCTAAAAACAGAAAATGAACTATAGTTCAGAAAACTGGTTAAGTGTTTTCCAATAGCCAAGACAGAGAAGAAAACTGACTGCAAAAGGGAGCACTAAGGGAACATTTTGGAATGATGGAAACATTCTATGTCATGAGTGCAACGTATCTATAGTTGTATTCATTTGTCAAAATTCAGAACACATTAAAATGGGTACATTATATTGTACTAAGGTACATCAGTTTTAAAAAGTACATGTTACTAATCACACCGATACTATGAATGCATGCATTTTTACTTAATTTGCTCAATTAACCATTATAAACAAGAATACTAATAGATGACTTACTCAAAGTCATACTGCCAATATGAGGCAAAGAAGGCATTCTAATCTAGCTTTCATATATGTCGCCATATGTCATAAAGAATGGATGCTAATGGAAAGACTTCATGACTTCCCTAGATACTGTGCAGGCCGACATTCGTTTTTCTAGCTATGGTTGTTAACCACCTGTGGGTTACAAAATTAATACAGTAGATAAGATCAAGTTTAAGGAATGGCAGAGTGAAGAAAAGAAGAAAAAAAATGGAAAAGATCAGAGTTCATTATATTTAAAAACATGAAATGTTGGGGTTAATAAAATGTTGGTTATTAAAGTTTTTGATTCATCTGAGAGCGAGTGTGTTTACACATATTCGGTTACAAATAAAATGTATTTCTTACTGTGAGTTCTAACCTAAAAAAAGTTTGAAAACCATTGTTGTAGGCCAAACAAAGGACTCAAACAGAAATGCTGGCTGCAGTAGGATGAAAGATCAGTAAATATACTGTAGACAAATGGTTATAGGGCCAAAAAATAGGAGGAAAAAGCAAGTCAGAAAAACTCCTAGTCTAGAAAAACTCAGTGAGCGCTCTGACGGTTACAGCCATACTTACCTTCTTTCAACTTACCTTTTCAAACTCACCTTCCCTCACTCTCCCTCTTCCCACAACCTTCCCACCACCCCCTACAATGAGGAAAACCTTCTTCTCTACTAGAAATAAATAAATGGAAGGTTAGAATGATTTCTTCACCTTCTATTACCACACCTTGAATTGCACTTTATACATAGAGAATGCTCAGATGTTCACAGAATGAACGCTGTTTAAAGTCTATTAACTCTGCCTAGGGATCCCACCACTGTAGTAATCTTTCATTCCTTTAACAAGACAGTGTCCTGTGAAATTCAATTGTGATAGTAACTCCAGAAATAACCTTGAAACGTGAAGTACTTTTGCAGGCCTTTAAGAAAGCAACTTAAAGAGATGGGTTTTTAACATTAATGCTTCCCATGATTTTTCTATTTAACGTTTCTAAAATACTGTCAAACACGACTGCAGCAGAATGCTATTCTTATATGCTGTCTCTCAAGTTTGGCTGAAAAAAGGCTATTCACATTAAGAAATTCTAAATTAAAAGCATGCATGCTACGTATATATGTTGTGGGGGTGGCAAACTTTGATTAGAAAATATACTACCAGTACACATCAAAGCGACAGTGGCAAATGCTTCCCTAAGCTTTATCACACCAGAAATAGTTTAAAGAGTCCTCAGAATATCCAGCTACCCTTTTTCCCTTCTCACAGCTCGGCATTGATCTGTAACACACATCCTGTAGAAGGCTCAGCTGCAAATGTGTCAAACCACTCTGTTCGTACATCAGGGAATATATTTTAAAAGGTAAAAAGGGACAGAACTCAATGCAGTGGTTCAACATAGTTTGACTTTAATGAAACTCACCAAAATCCTATGAGGGGAGAAGACATAATTAGTCCTGTTTTATAAATATGTGAACAATCAAATAATTGCTTTGCTAAGGACAGGAAAAATAGTGAAGCTTTGTCTTTCATCAAGTCTTCTGATTCCAAATCCAATGATCTATACTGAATCAGTCAACAATGAGTAAGAAAGAATTTACTCTTTAGTGTCTTTTGTTCAACATAGCCATGCTTATTTTCAAACCTCTACAAAAACAGATCTAGCTGCCTAAAGTAGATAATCAGCTTGATCCTCCCCTAGACAAAACCCCTAGCCTATTCAACAGGCAAGACAAAGAACAAGATCAGAGGAGAACTGTGAGAGCCGAGAGGCAGCAGTTCAGTCAATGAGTCCACGTAAAAGGGGTCAATGAGGAATCCAGGCGAGATGGTCACATGTACACTTAAGATGAAAGCAAGGGCAGGGGAACAGTCAGTAATCCAGGCAGGTGGTCAGAAAGATGTCAGAAGGTCCTTGTCAGAGCTTTCATACTCTGCACATGAAATTCAAGACTTAATCTCCAGGAAGCCTGACCAGGGCCAAAATAGGTCTGAATCCAAGGAAATCATAATACCAGCAGGTTATCAAAGTACTGACTCATTCTTTCATTTGTTCAACAAAAAGTTTATTAAAATGCTCACTACATGCCAGACAGCATACCAGGTCCTGGAAGTGTTAATAACACATTATCTTCAAAAGGTTTACGTAAGTGAGCTAGATAATAAATGATATAATGCTAAAAATATGCTCTAGTCACTATAGTAATGACCCAAAAGTTTTGACCTTACCAAGCCCAGTCACAAGATTGAGGAAAGAGGCTGGGAATGGGAAGAGGATGGAGAAAGAATGGAAGTCATTCAGGGGAAAAAACAAAAAACAAAAACAGTTCTTAATATAAGATCAGAACAAGATGGCTGCTAAAATGGCCTGTAGCAGCCACTCCATAACTGATCTAGAACTCAGTGGGCAACGACAGTCAGATGAGGTAAAGGGGTTGTGAATGGGGAAAAAAAAAAAATACAGAGCACTCAAAATATCAATAAATCTCAAAAATATCATATAGATTATTATCCAGCAATAAAAAGGAATACAGTATTAATACATGAAACAATGTGGATTCATCTTAAAAACATCATGCTAAGTGAAAGAAAGACACAAAACATCACATATTTTATGACTCCATTTATATGAAATGTCCACAGGCGCAATCTATAAACACAAAAAGTAGGACTCAGCAGGGGGCATGGCATGGTGGTCAAGGCACTGGACTTACACATGGCAAACCACAGTCTGAGTCCCAGACCCAACAACTTAAAAAAAATCACACTAGGTGTGTCTATGTGTGTGACCAAATCCTAAGAGGATTTCACATGGCCATTCTCCGTGGGGAGGTGTCTCATTTTCTCTCTCTCTCTCTCTCTCTCTCTCTCTCTCTCTCTCTGGCGAGAGCACATGCCCTATGGCAAATCTAATAAAAAATAAAAACTAAAAAAAAAAGACAAAAAGTAGGTGAGTGGTTACCTAGAGCTACAAGAGTTGAGGGGACAAAAGGTGTGACTATTTATGGGTATGATGTTTCTATTCAGAGTGATGAAAATGTCCTGAAATTGATTGTAGTGATGGTTGTACAAATCTTGTAAATACAGTTTAAAGAAAAAAAAGTCATTGAATTCTGCATCTTTAATGGGTGAATTGTATATTTAGTGGATATCTCAATAAAGCTGTTATAAGTACACATTGTAAATTCTCATAAAAGAGTAAACATAAAAATTCCGGATTTTAAGTTGCACTATTTACTTCTTCCATGAGCACAGAGA